CCCGCGCAGGTACCTGTACAGGAAACATACAGTGTATATCATATATAACATATATATACCTGCACATGGAGGGGAGGGACGAGGCCCGCGCCCGCACAGGTACCTGTACAGGGAACATACAGTGTGTTTTGTACATATAACACAGCCCTGGAAAAAATACAGACCACAGCACAATTTTTTGTTTCACCCATTTCTCAATTTATGGGTGTGTGTCTATAAATAATATACATGTACTTTTTTGCAAAGTACAGCCTGGTTCTTCCCTGTTTCTCTGCTTGCTTTATGTGACTTCAGTCCTGCTTCTAGCAGACTGATATGCACAGTCCTAGCAGTGCACTTCACACCTGCACTTAATGTTTCCTATTTCATTTGAAGGTCACTTGATGTCATCCTCCTTGATCCATCCTGAGAAACTAGCCTTCTGCCAGCAGAACCAGGATTAAACCAGGATTTAAAAGTGCAGATTTGTTTAAAAATAGAGAGCGGCCTCTTTATGTTTTCTGCAGCTGTATATGTACCTGCACATAGTGAGGAGGGACGAGGCCTGCATAGGTGCATGTATAGGAAACATACCATTGTATATCATACATAACATATATGTACCTGCTCATGGAGCTGGGGGATGAGGCTCGTGCAGGTAAATGTACTGGGAACATGCAGTGCATATCATATATAACATAGTCATGGCCAAAATTATCGGCACCCCTGAATTTTTCCAGAAAATGCACCATTTCTCACAGAATATTGTTGCAATTACAAGTGTTTTGGCATACACATGTTTATTTTCCTTTATGTGCATTGGATCAACACAAAAAAGCTGAGAAAAAAGCCAAATCTGACATCCTGTCACACAGAACTGCAAAAATGGGCCGGACAAAATCATTGGCACCTGTTCAAAATTGTGGGTAAATCGTTTTATTTCAAGCATATGATGCTTGTTTGAACTCGCCTGTTGCAAGAAACAGGTATTGGCAATATAGCAATCACACCTGAAGCCAGTTAAAATGGAGAATGGAGAAAAGTTGACTCAACCTTTCTGTTGTGTGTCTGTGTGTGCCACACTAAGCATGGAGAACAGAAAGAAGAGCAGAGAATTGTCTGAGGACTTGAGAACAAAAATTGTGGAAAAATAACAACAATCTCAAGGCTACATGTCCATCTCCAGAGATCTTCATGTTCCTTTGTTCACTGTGCACAACATAATCAAGAAGTTTACAACACATGACACTGTAGCTAATCTCCCTGGACGTGGACAGAAGAGAAAAATTGATAAAAGACTGCAATGAAGGATAGTCTGAATGGTGGATAAACATCCCCAATCAACTTCTAAACAAATTCAAGCTGTTCTGCAGACTCAGGGTGCAACAGTGTCGGCTCTAACTATCCGTCGACATCTGAACTAAATGAAACGCTATGGCAGGAGACCCAGGAGGACCCCACTGCTGACACAGAAACATGAAAAAGCCAGACTGGAGAAAGCCAAAATCCTTCTGGGAGAACATCTTGTGGACAGGTGAGACCAAGGTAGAGCTTTTTGGTAAAGCTCATCATTCTACTGTTAACAGAAAATGGAATGAGGCCTACAAAGAAAAGAACACAGTACCTACAGTCAAACATGGTGGAGGTTCTAAGGTGTTTTGGGGATGTTTTGCTGCCTCTGGCACTGGAAGCCCTGACTGTGTGCAAGGCATCATGAAATCTGAAGACTACCAAAAGATTTTGGGGCACAATGTAGGGCCCAGTGTCAGAAAGCTTGGTCTACATCATGGAGGTCATGGGTGTTCCAGCAGGACAATGACCCCAAACATACCTCTAAAAGCAACCAGAAATGGTTGAAGACAAAGCGCTGGAGAGTTCTGAAGTGGCCAGCAATGAGTCCGGATCTAAATCCAAATTTAACACTTATGGAGAGATCTCAAAATTGCTGTTGGGAGAAGATACCCTTCAAATCTCAGAAAACTTGAGCAGTTTACAAAAGAAGAGTGGATCGAAAATTCCAGTTGAGAGATGCAAGAAGCTTGTTAATGGTTACAGGAAGCAATTAATTTCATTTATTTTTTCTAAAGGGCGTACAAGCAAATATTAAGTTCAGGGTGCCAATAATTTAGTCCAGCCCAGTTTTTGAGTTTTGTGTGAAATTTGGCTTTTGCTCTCTGTTTTTTCCAAAGCACATAAAGGACATAAACATGTGTTTACCAAAACACTTGTAATTGCAACAATTTTCTGGGTGAAATGGTGCATTTTCTGGAAAAATTCCAGGGGTGCCGATAATTTCAGCCATTACTGTATATCTGGACCTAGCTTATGCATAGCTATAAATAATTCAACACATTTCGGCTGGTGCTGCCGTAGGCACTGACGGCTACATCCAGCATCTCACAGTAAATGGGGAGAATGGCAGCCGCACGTCCCACAGTGAAACACGCTGTGAAGTTTGCTTCCTGCTGTGCATTCAGTTATATAAACAGTGGGGCAACAAAATGAGGGAGAGGGGGCTCACATTTAACACCCCCTCCAAACTCAACAGGGGAATCCACACATGCAGCTGTTACGAGCTCCAGTCTAGGGTAACAGAGTGGAAGGGAAAGGGGACGTGGAATAAGGGAAACACAGGGTGTGGTGCACAAGGGAACACACGTGGACAAAGGGGTATATTATTATATTTTTCTGGTTTTTTATTTACACACGACAGACACAGAACTAATAAACCCAGTGCAGAAGGACTCAGGAGTGATTATAGCCAAAATAATAAACAAAAACCCAGCTACCGAACGCAACCGAAATCTTACTTATCTATCTGTAGAGAAATCAAAGAACAAAAACAACAATTACTACTCCTCACTCCCTAACCAAACAACAGCATACACAAAACTCGTAAACAAAAATGGCAACCACTCCCCTACACACCCAACAAACACACAGAACATACACAGGGCAAGGCGTCAGAATCGGAAGGGCGCGCAAAGACGTAAACCAAAAACCGGGTGAGAGATCGAAACCAGAAAGCAAACAAATAAAGGCAGAAGTACAGATAAGGGCAAAGCAAATAATCATAAACCAATAAACCGAACCGTCATACACAATAATCCAAATCAAAGAAAGCAAACCAGCAATAATTGTGGGCGGGGTCCGGACAGAGAGGCGGAGCCAGGGTCGAACGCAGTGGAACTGGCCGTGGGTGGAGCTGGACAAACAGTGCTTGTAACACAGCAATCATGTGCTGACTTTCTCTATAACTCACAAATACACTGCTGTTACCCCCAAATATTGCAAATTTTGACCCATTAGTCCATAAAACAGCTCCCACTTCTATTGAATCATGCATTTCTGGTTATACAGTTTAAGGAGTGGACAGACAGACATGGATGCCTGGGGCTGAGACCCTGCACGGCACTGCTGCTCCACGTGCACCATGCTGATCTTGTGATCCCGCTCTCCACCCCCCAGGGCTCCTGGGGGATGCTCAAGATTACTTATCATCCTCACAAAAACTTCACATTCTTTTTTCAGTCCACTAGATTAGTTTTATCCACTGAGAAGTGACGAAGGTACAAAAAGACCCATGT